TTTTCAAGGTTGCACTTAGTTCCTTTCAAATTTCAACAGCATCAGAAAAAAAGCAAGTCCTTCTCTGCACTTCCTTCAAGGTATAGCAATAGGTTTTAGACTAGTAATCAGAATTCAGTGTACTGTACCCACACAATGAGAACTATAGCCCTGACAGTTCTATTTTTTTCATGATCTTATTCACTAATTCTCTCAAAATAGGCCAGTATGAAAGTCTTCCACTGGCCATCTTGCAAGAGATTTGCCAGAGCAGTTTGGAAAACAAAACATTTTACAATGTGTGCAATATTAACCTGTCTTTAGACTAACAAACATCTTTTGTGATACATTAAATGAGCATTGCAAATAAATGCTATCATTTGGGAGGGCTTCTTCACTTTCTTCTAATCTTGGATAAATTTGCACTGCATGTGATAAAGCTGTAATACAATGCATTTGAAATTCTTTTGAAAGTTTGCTATAGCTTTTGTTTCTCCTTCTTGAAAATATTTAGTAATATGTGCCACAAAGATGTGACTTTCTTTTTATACACAAGCACTTACAATAATGCTGTCAATCCATCAATATTCATGACAATTTTCCCATCTTGATTATTTGCACAATTTTGGAGGGTTTTTTTAAAACACATTTTATCTAACAATTTCCCTTCAGCTTGTGCCCTGTTCAGTGGATCTTGTTCTTGATCAAATGACTGAACCCTGATAATGTAGTATTCATTCTCCACCATACAGGATAGAATTTATAGCAGAAGCAAATAAACCAACTTTTTCGCAGTTGCTTCCATATACTAGAATGAATACACACACACACACGCTAGATTTTATTAGAAGGTTATCTATATATTTCTGTATGATAGAGTTTTCTTTCTTTTTGCAGTTTTGGTGATATATTAGATCTTTCGGAGCCATGTAATATATCTGAAACAGTGTTGTCAAGGAACTCTGAAACAGTATTTATGAAGAAGTTTGCCTCTATGTAGCCATAATAATCTTGCAATTTGAGGCTGGAGCAATCTAAAAAAAAAGTCATTGCATCAGCTTGTGTAATATCATTGAGTTCATTCACTTATAAAAATGGAGCTTTAAAAGAAATAGCTGCCTCTTACATTTAAATACATTCAGCTGTAAAAAAACCTATATTTTTGATCAAACTACCCAGTAATAAATTGAGAAATCTGTGCAAAAGATATGACCAGGAACCCTTAGAAATAGATTATGAAAACATAGGAATATATTTACTAACCTGAAAGGTCCTATATGCCAGACATGCTTCCCTCATAATCTTCAAAGCAGAAGATCTCATAATGATGCTTCATTCATATAACCAGGTCTTGCCTTTCTTAGCTACACCATTTGGATTTTGCATGTTTGCCTGTTTTACTCACAAGTACAGGAATGTCATTAAAATATTCCCACATGGGAATACCATGTTACCATGATTGTGTGATAGTCAGATTGAATACTTGTAGGTTTGCAGAATTCGGTTCTGCCATTTTAAGTGTCAGTTTCTGTTCCTCTCCTTACCTCTTGCATTTATATTTGGTCTCTTCCTCTTCCTCACCCAGATATGTTTGCATCACCTCAAATTCTTTATTCACTGTCTTTGGAATTTTAGAATGAGGTCACCTATCAAGGCTATTAATTGACTTCTCATTTCCATATTAGCAAGTGGAATATGTTCATGATTAAAAGTTTCTTTTAACCTCAAGACCAAAGTTTTAAGAACAATACAGGTCTCTCAATAAGGAAATACACGGACGAAGAAATAGTATCAGTTTTTTTAAACATTCACGAAATGTCTATCAGTCTCTTCAGCTGTTTAGAAACATATGATTCCCGTTTGGAGAACGGAATGCCACAACCAGGAAAAAAAAAATCGAAATTTCCAGCTTCTTATCCTGACTTGAATACAAGAAGCCAACTAAGTTGCACATCCGGCCTGCTTGAACCACTATTCTCCGACTAATAACTGAAGCTGAACCTACCCTCAAGCCCAAGGGAAAAATTCATTTAGTTGGCCCCGCCCGTACCAAGGACTCACCTTGCAGAACAACTGCAAATGTCGCAGCCTCCACAAAGTCAGCGCCATTTCAACCCGGTAGGAAATGACAATACTGCGCGTGTGTGGCAGATAGGACCTGACTGAGCAAGCGTTACACGGAGAGCGCGGGTTGGTTAGCAGCAATGCAGGAAAAACCAAAATAAATTAATCCAGGTAGGTTTTATGATTTCAGACCTGCGTGGTTTCCATCTGAAAATCAAAAGTTATGAAAGCTCCGAAGCTTTTCAGTATGCTACTACACAGCCAAGACAACTCGTTTTTAAGGACTTTTTAAAAAAGAAAAATATGTACAGTTGATGTCTTCTATGGTTTTCACCCCTTCCAAAGAAGTGGTTTATCCCAAAAAAAACTAGACGAGCCCGATGAGCATCTTGCGCACGCGCAATCACAGCTAAGTGCTCAGCAGCTGCTACGGAGGAGCGGAATAGTCCTTTGGCAACTGGTTGTGGGTTTTCTTTTCACCTTTGTTTAATGTCACGTGAAGATGTGTTGGTATGGGTTTGCATGTTTTCATATTTAAAGTGGCGTTAGTTTAATAAAAAAGAGGAGGCTTGTGAGACAGTATACGTAGTTGACAACTGCAGTTAACAGTTCAGCTGGGCCCTGAGAATCTTGTACTCCGTAATAATCCCGTTTTTACTCAGACGGTAAAACTATAATACCTACTACATTTTTGGTGTAATTGCACATGAAAAATGTTCCTTCATACAGGTTTGTTAATATCAAAAAATAATACAGTACTTGGGGGAAGGGTTTTCGCTTAGATTTCTGTCAGCAAAGCCTGTTTTTTAAGTAAGTTAAGTAGTGGAGTTTAGATGGGGGTTTATGTAGAGAGAAGGTATATATTGTGGTTAACCAAATGTAATGGAGTTCTTCAGCCCTGATAGGTGGCCGTGTTGATTAATGTACAAATCAGCCAGTGAATCTAGAGAAATTATGTAAGGTTGCTGCTTGTAAATCAACTATGTCTAGGCATTTGAAGCCTGGTATTAAGAGAGCTGATAACTTTACGTGAAAACACTTTCCTTCCATTAAACGGGTTTATAATCTTTGTGATTTAATTTTTATAGATATTGGCACAGGTATGTGGGTTTACATTCGAATAAACATGTGCTTCAACATTAAATAATGTAATTCCTACCCACCCAAAAGAAGCAAAGTTTGTACATTCTAACAGTGGCTTTTATTGTTTCTGGAAGTAAAACATACTTTTATTGTTTTAAATTATTTCAGTATTATAATGTAGTGACACAAACATTCACATTGTTTATCCAAGGCTACAATTGTTATTTCATTTTAGTTTTTGGATGCCTTTGATCAAGAGGTTTCTTTCTTTTTTCCCCAAATATTCAGATACTTTTGTCCTCTAAAGAGAAATTAAGGGTAAGATTTATTACTGTTATCTGTTGTGTCCTTTGATGATATAACATGTTGCTTTGAATATTTAAAGTGTTTAAAGTGCTATGGTGTTAGCAGGTGTAAACGACTGAGTTTTGGGTTCCATAGCTGAACAAAGACAGGGGAGACTACTAGGGAATCTCAAGGCTAAGAAGGTAATGGCAAGCTATTTTCACTGAAATTCAGAATTTAGTGTAATGGATTATAAAATTAAGAGGTTAAGAATACATTTTCTTTTTATCTGAGGGCAAAACCCTCTAATGAATGCATTTCCTAGGAATTCCAGTGACTAAAACTATAGGAACCCAAAAGAAAGTATATCAGTTTTCTTTCTTTAACTATGCTTATTACTATGATAATTTTCATAGGAATTCCATAAGGAATTCTGGAATTCTGTTGTATCATAGAATTACTGTATAGCACTGAAAGAAACTTTGGAGATAATGTAATCCAACTCCTTATTTAATATGGAGTATGATACAATCCTTGAAAGTCAGTTATTTAACTTCTGCTAAAATACATTCAGAGAAGGAAACTAGATTATCCTTCCACAGATAGTCTAGTATATTGCCAAACAGGCCCTTAACAATTGAATTTTTTTCTAATATTTAACTAAAATTTATTTCCCATCCATCCATTGGACATAGTTCTGCTCTCCAAAGGAACAGAGAAAAATTCTGCTCCATTTCTTTAATAATAGCATTTCAGATATTTGAAGACTGCTATGTCTCCCCCCAGTCTTTTCTTCAGCTAAATATATCTTGGTCTTACAGCTGCTCCTCTCAGGACTTGAATACCAATTTGTGTACTGTCATTGTTCTTCTTCTCTAAATGGATTACAAGAGGGTTAGGGTTAACCCTACCTCTTCCTAAAACCTGCCATCCTCCCTCATACAGATACTAAGCATTAAAGAAACACCTTTGTGGTTTGGATAAAATAATAACTCTTGTTTAAAATGGTGCACTCCTGTTTGTAGTCCTGATTATCTGGTTTACATAATGCTTCTGTATCTTATCTAGTGCAAGTGGTTAAGATGTCAGTCTCAGATTGGGGAGATACAGGTTCCTCAGCCTTGGAAACTCACTGGGTGGTTATGGGCCAGTCATTTTCTCAACTCAGCTTATTTCATAGGGTTGCTGTCAATAAAAAACCCACATGTAATCCTGGAGTTCTTGATTTTAAATGATGCTAACTGACTGTAGTCAACACATGTCTTGCAGTTAAAAAAATATTTTAATAAACTCAAATAAATAGCAAGTCAAAGCATAACAAGCTAATGAAAAAAGGAGCTCAAGATAGGAGAGTGTTTCTAAGGGATGAAATATTAAAAATACAGTTGCAAATAATTCCAATGAGGAAGAAAAATAGCGGACAGCAAAAAAACTAATCTGCCAATGCTAATAGCTTAGTGAAGATTCTAAAATGAAAAAGGATACAATCAGAAAATGGTAAATGGCCAGATTACAAAGGTAGAGTATAGATAAGTAGTCCAGAATAGTAAAACGTGTCAGAAAGACAAAAACTCACAATCAACTGAAATTAGTAAAGAATGCTAACAAAAAGATCTTTTTAGATATGTTTAAAATTAAAAAAAAAAATCAGCATACTAGCTGCTTAATGAAAAAGGCACAATGCTAAAAAAAGTCAAAATTACTCAACTGCTATTTCAGTTTGATCTTCTCTAACAGAAAAGTATGAGTTCCACCTAGGGCTGACTCTAGACATTTTGGCACCCTAGGTAAAGCCATATTCTGGCACCACCTATGGTTTGGCTCATCTTCTGATTTTTTTAGGAATTTCAAAAAATTGGCATCTTGTTTCTTTTTTTCTTCAAATTTTTGAGCTTTACACTTACAATTTGTAGCCCCAGACAGTTTTTTTTTCTCTAACATTTTCACCCTATTTATACTACAAAATTATATTTAATCCTCAAGCGGATGTGCTAGCTCACAGAGTGCATTGTTACTGCTTTTTGCTTTTTTATTGGAAGTCTTTTCAGTTTTGGTGACCCTTAAAATTTGGTGCCCCTAGTCCAGTGCCTACTCAGCCTTAGCCTAGAGCCAACCCTGGTTCCACCAGGAAAGTGTGAAGAATGGGATAAAGTGGCAGAACTGAATTTTGAGACTAACAGAAACATGGTCAGGAAACACCTGCTTATTATGAATGAATTTAAATCTCAGACCAGATGAATTTTATCTGAAGGTGCTGAAGGAACTAGCTGATAATTTGGCTAAGCCTTTATTATTTTGGGGAAAATAATCAAAGATATGACCAATCAGATTCAGCAGCAGTATGTTTTTTCCCTACATTTTCCAAATATTCTCACTATGTCATGGGTATAAGTAATTTTTCAGGGAATTCTGTCAGAAGTATATCAGTCTAAAAGTATACAGCTGAGTGTAAACTCAGGTAATAAATATCTTAAGAGTTATTTTCTTTGATTTTAAGGTTTGTCTATGAATAATTTAAATAACCCTCCTCCTAACTGGAACATTCAGCCTAATGCAAGAAATAATGAAGATCATGGAAGCAAATGGAATTATGCTTTGTTGGTTCCAATGTTGGGGCTGGCTGTCTTCCGTAAGTGACCTTCAAATAAAGTTTGAATTGAACATAATGGTAGATAAAATTTATTCACCAGATATGTATTTCTCAATATTGTCAGGATGGGGATAGACACATCTGAATATATCAATAGAATCTTTATATATGACACTTTAGTATTTATCAGGAATGTTCAACCAACACAGACCATATCTTTATCTCACAAAGTAATCCAACTCTCCTTCTGTGGGTCCAGAAGGATAGCTTGTCCTGATCTAATTCCTAGTCTGAAGTTGTCAGCCTTACCAGGTAGGCCAGACAGGAAACACAACCAAATAAGCTATTTCTACTTTATTGTAAAGCAATACAGATTAACAGAATCTTGCAAATCAGAAAGTACGATTCTCCTGCCATCTCCTTTACAGCTTGAAAAACTAGGAAGGGCGCCTTCTGAGTCTGTTGCCCCATCCATTTTGCAGCTGTGGGCTATGCTGTCTCTTATCTGACTGTTACCTAGGCAGCATCTGTTTCCCCCCATTTCCCAAGGTCTTTCCCACATACCATTACAGAAGTATATTCAGGAAACCCATGGTCTAGTGGTTAAGGCACCAGGCAAGAAAACAGGAGATTGTGAGTTCTAGTCCCACCTTAGGCATGAAAGCTGGCTGGGTGACTGGCCAGTCACTCTCTCTTAGCCCAACTCACCTCACAGGGTTGTTGTTGTGGGGAAAACAAGAGGAGGAAGGAGTATTAGGTATGTTTGCCACCTTGAGTTATTTATAAAAATAAAGGCAGGATAAAAAATCTAAAAAAAAAAATGGAGCTGTGTCATTAGTATTAAAAAAAGAAAGATTCCCCTCAGCTTTTTTTTTTCTTCCTTTAGCTAAGAAAATATTCAAGGCTCAGGCTTTGCAGGTAGCCAGTTTTCTTTTTCCTCCCAGTCAGCCAACTGCCTTGAATTTTGCTAGAGCAATCTTGCAGAGACTCAGTACAAGTAATCCTTGCTTAACAACCACAATAGGGATTGGAAAATTAGTTGTTAAGCAGGGTGGTTGTTAAGTGAGTCACCACCTGACCAGACACAATTTTACAACCATTTTTACCATGGCCATTAAGTGAATCACATAGTCATTAAGTGAATCCAGCTTCCCAATGGATTTTTTTGCCAGAATTTGCTTAACGACCTTGTGGTTTGCTCAACATTTGTAGCGATTCACTTAACGACATCATAAAAAAGTCACGAATTGCAATCACGTGACCGTGGGGGGGTGCGATGGTTTCCAAGGGTCATAAGTACAAGTACAGGTTGTAAAGCACTTTTTCCAAGGCCGTCGTAACTTCGAACCATCATTAAACAGTCATTAAGTATGGACTACCTGCAGGAAAAGTATGAGTTACTTCTAATTCATGGCTATGCAAGCTTACAAAATCTTCAGCCCGAGACAGTTTGTAACTCTAAGGCTAGAACTCAATATAAGAATTTTTCCATATTTTGCTTTTTTTGACTGCTTACGGAGCCCGCTTTGATGACATTTGTAAAGCTCCTTTGCCATTGGAATTTGAATGAGATCTCCCCCATCCTTCCTGCCCCTCAATCTCCTGCCCTTTGCATTGACCAATTGGGGCCAATTCAGAAATCCTAGAGAGAGGCATATCTATTAAGATTAATCAGTCCTGGGACCACACCCTGTTCCTATTCTCCAGACACTTACAAACATTCTTGGCTGTAGTGGAAAAGATTATTGTGACATTGTCCTTTATCTGAGACCAGGATAGCAGTACCAAGGCTACTGAAACATCATCTCATTTTTCTCCCTCCTCATAACTGTGTTGTTTATATAGGCTTCTGTTTGCCTCAGTCTGTTGTACTGTTGCCAAGTGAGGAATAGAAGAAAAAGAAATAATCTTCATAATGGACTTGAAACTGGACTTGAAATGTTTGGTACTTAGGAGGATTTTGGCAGGAGCGCTGGATGACATTTGTGCTTATGCTTGTTCTTATGCTGCCTCCTCTTCTCCCCCCACTCATTCCCAGCTAAAGAGAGGTGTTGTAGTTCTGCATCATCCACTCTTCTACAACCACCTCCCTCCTCTACCACAGCCAGAAATATAGGAGCCTGAGTTTGTCCTGTGTCCCTCCTCCCCCTCTCCCAGTGGACTAACGTGATGAGACCACTAGCTCTGTTTTAGTAGCCACTTCCTGGCAAGACTGCAACCTTGTGGACCCAGGATGGCCAATATCAATACCAAATACTTTTAAGGGCAGGGGACCATAACATTGTCACTTGACAAAAGTCAAATATAACTTTCTCCTAGTACCCTTATTTCTGCCGCTTTCCTCTTTGGAGATACCTGTGCTGGCACAAAGCATAAAAACATTAGATGAATAGCCATGAAGAGATGGGTGAGAGATTATAATTCCTAACATATTTACACAGCTATGGGATGCTGAAATTATTTTCTAAAGTAAAGACAGAAGGCAGACATATACAATGACATTATTATTACAGTAAAAAATGAAAACTAATTAATGATGTAATGAATGGTTGAACATGAAAGGACCAAGCAAGAACTGAGAAATCAAAAACTTTGAAACATAACAAGTTACATTATGTTGTAAAAAGGGAAGAATGAAACAGCTGGGAAAAGAGAAGATTGGAAAATTGGATGAACAATCTAATTGAAAGAGAAGAAAAAATGCTAGATTATGACACAATGTTTATGTGAAAGAGAGAACAGTCTCATGCAGAGAACTATTCTAAAACAGTCTTATTTTCTTCACTCCCATCCACTTCCAAACATTGTAATTAGGCGACTGATTGTCAGGTTCACCCTGATCTGAGGACAAACCCATTGATCTCTGATTCCACTACTTGCCCTTTCTCTAACCACATCATATCAGCATGGGCAAATATAAGCAAACATGAAAGGTACTATTTTAAATCTACCCCTTTTTTGGTGTCTGATATTCTGCCTTTTCACTGTGTGCTTGGTATACGGCAGAAACAGAGCTCTGTAGAAGAATTTGAATCTAAGACAGGACAAATTAAGAGATGTATGTCGTATCTCAAATGAGTTCAAAATTGTCCCACTCTTTGTCAGGTTTGGCTTCACACTAAGTTGGAACCCAGTCCTAGTATTTATCATGATAGTTTATTTTCATGTCCTCATGTCTTACAGGTTGGATTTGGTCCAGAGAATCTAAGAAAGAGATAGAAAAAGAGAAAAGAAACGTATACAGAAAACTGTCATTGGTACAGAAAGAACTTGAATCTAAATATCGTGACGTAATTATAGAAAACCGTAGAATGGTTGCTCACTTGGAATTAGAATTGGAGAAGGAACAGAACAGAACCCTAAGTTATCGCAATGCACTCATCTCTCAGAGTTACAAACTGGTAGAAGAAAGAAGAACTTTGGAACAAGAGCGCACAAAGATAGAACAAGAGAAGCTGATACTGCAGCACTCTGGTGCTGCTGGTGCTGTGTATCAGAACTGTCTGGAGAAGGAAGAACAATGGCAAAAGAAAGCCACTATTTTACTAAAAGAGTTTGAAGAAGCTTTAATGGAAAGGCAGAATATGTACTGCAGCCTTGTGCTGCCAAGATATCATCGATTGGCAGTGGAGAAAAAAATGCTAGCCAAAGCAACAAATGATCCACTTGGTTTGGAATTGGAACTAGAAGCTGGCTTAAAAGATATTTTCAGGCATGATACCTCTTGCAGCAGTTTGCTAAATACCAATAAACATCAAAATGGAAAGCTAATGTGGATCTACCTTCGATATTGGGAGTTATCTGTTGAACTTAGAAAATTTAAGAAAGCAGAGAAGGTATTCTTGGGGAAAAGTGACTAAAGCTAGGCCATCCCTATATTCTATTAATCTAGTCCTCTCCAGTTCAACCCACAGAACCCTTCAACCCACAGAATCTCCATGCTGGCTTCGTGATTTATATATACCTTCGTGAGGCATGTATCAGTATCTTTAGCTTACTGCCATAAGTACATTCATCATCTAATAATATCAGTGCCTCTTATTTTGATTAATCTAAATGTGTATTGGGTGATGCCATAGTAATGTACGGCAACTAAATACCTATGATTTTTGTATTAGCAGTGCTTCTACATTCAATAGTATTTTTTAAAAAATAATATTTTATTTCCACATTTCTATGGTCCTTTCTATGCTGTCGCTCTTTTCATTCCTCAGATCCTCAAATACAGTCTCAACCTGACACACGGTTATCCTCACCACTGCCAACTTCAAATGCAGAGATCACTACATCAGACAGGGAGTGCACCATCTCAGTGATAAAAACCATATCCAGCTCATCAAATCAATGCTTAACATGTAATTTCACTGTAAAATCTTTACAAAGAAAAATAGATAAATACAAAGATTCTGTTTATATCTAGCACAGTTATTAAGTATGTTCTGCATAGTCCAAAAGAAGGAATAGGATATTTCACTGCCTGAATTGAAGAACTTTTCAATAGAATTTTTGGAGAAAAAAATCAATTTCAATTTTTAGCTTCTTGCTTAAAACGTGTTGATATATTCATCAGGAGTCAAGTTCAACTTAAGAGTGCTTTTACCTTTACCATATTAAATGAACTTGTTTCACCCTGATATATAAGATATTAGTATTTTCAGTAAACTATGCAAGAATACTACATAAATTGAAGGGAAAAAATCAAAGACCCTAAGAAAATACTCATGTACCTTTCAGCATTATAAGGTGTATGAGTGGGTGTCAGAGATAGTCAATACTGCATATAGGGATCAGATTTTAAAGAAGTTAAAGAAAACAATCATAGCTTAATTTCAGGTAAATATGACTTTCATTACTAACAAAGTTATTTGCTGTCTTTCCCATGAAAAGATCTAAAAACACCCAAAATGGCTGCATTGCTACTCTGTCTTCAAAAAATACCATGTCAAGCGCAGACAAGGGTATTATGTTAATGCAAAGTACATTCGTGCAAGATGTTTAGGAAATCATGGAGAATTTTAATGTTATTTACTATGGACTATACTGGTTTTGAGTTAATTTTTTTTCACCACTATTAAAGAAGTCACCTTGTGAGAAGGCAGGGAGAAGT